ATATAATATCGCGTAAAACATTGAGTTAATCACACTCCCCTTTTTTAAGGGCTCTCAAAAAATATAAAAACTCTTAACTCCCGAAGATTTCTATTAAGAATAAACTTTATCTTGTGCTCTCAATTAAAATATTAGCGTTCCGCTAATACTGACAATTATTGTTAAATTGACTATTGAGCACTTAGCAACTAGTGAATTTATACCGATTAGTGAATGTTCTCGAATAACTCAAATGGGGCTTATTAACTAACCTGTGAATAATCAAAAGTACTTGAATGTGGTTATAGTATTTATTACTTTATTAAACGATTATTTTGGCAACAATAGAGAGATATAAAACTGGAAGTGTGAGTGCATTATTTAGCAGTGACATTCCCATCCCCTTTATGATCCAGTGATCTATCCCTAAATTAAATGTTGAGGGCCTCAGTTAGAGGCCCTAACAGGAGGCCCCACACTAAGTCCTATAAAGTGAAATATGGATTACTGAGGCCATACCTGCCTCCATAGTTACCATTTTTAAAAAGGGAGACAAGGCTCAATGTAGAAACTACAGAGGAATATCATTACTTTCTGTTGCGGGAAAGATACTTGCCAGGATATTATCAAATCGTTTAATCCCAAATGCCGAAGAGAACCTTCCAGACACAGTGTGGTGTGGCCTAAGACCCAACCGATGAGGTACAGCTGACACGATTATCGCCCTCTAGATAGATAGATTAGATAGATAGATAGATTTCTTTATTCGATCAATATGTTTACAATTACAATTACAAATTGGTAGAGAACATTTTACCCAGAGGGTGTTGATCATGTCATTATTTACAATACACAATAAAAAAAAAATTGTACTTAAATCTTAAAAAACATTTAGTACAAAAAAAAATAAATAAACACATACATCTAAGATAAAAAAAAAAAACATTTAAGTAAAAAAACAAACAAGTACACCTCACGAACAAATAATTAGAGTCTGGTCATTCCGACCACTTCCAGGGTCAGCACAGGGAGTGCCATGTTTATCTAGGCAATTAGTAAAATTTTATGCTTTGCTAGAAAGAAAACAATTTTAAAAAAAAAAAAAAAATCTAACTCAAATCTTTCACTTCTTGATCAGTAAAAAAATCGTTCAGACTGTAATAGGCTTTTGAGCTCAGAAATGTTTTTATTTTGCAGTTGATAACTCTTGATGGTAGCATACGGAGTGAGGGAGGCAAAACATTCCAGACTTTGAGAATGTTGTGTTTAACATTTTTAAGAATGTATGTAAAGTGAGCAGTTTCAGTTCTAAGATTGTCTTTGAATCTAGTACCATGACAATGATTAGATTTTAGTTTGTCAAAGATATCTGGATTTTCTGATATAAATTTGATACTCTCTGTAATGTACAAGTTAAAAATTGTCGGAAAGTTATTATCAACAAAGAGATTTTTACAGCTGTCTGTATTTTTTTTCTCGAATATTGTTCTCAGGTATCTTTTCTGAAGCAGGAGAACTCTCTCTGCCTCCGCCACTCTGCCCCAGAAGATCACCCCATACCTCACTCTCGATTGCACATAGGCATGGCAAGCTGTCAGTGCAGCCGAGCACCCTGCCATGTCCCTGACCACTCGCAGTGCATAGCAGTACCTACTCATACTCTTTGCTAGTTGGTCGATGTGAGCATGCCAGTCTAGTCTTTCATCCAGCACCATCCCCAGAAATGTCACATTATCTTTAGTTGATAGTGTAGTGCCATTGTAGTCTATGTTTGTCTTGTCAGGTCTTAAGTTAAAATTTATAATTTGGGTCTTTTCTACATTCAGTTGAAGGTTATTATCAGTGAACCAATTTTGAAGTACCAAAAGTGATTCTTGGACATTTTGTTTGCAAGCCTCTTTGGTTTTTTCGCAGCAGATGACTGTAGTGTCATCAGCAAAGAGTACGACCTCATTATTTAGGATGTCAGCAACCTCATTGGTGTAAATTAGGTAAAGTAAAGGGCCGAGAATCGAACCCTGGGGAACGCCTTTTTTGATTGTTGAAAAATTTGATTTTATTGTCTCACCCTGCTTGTTTTGTGCAACAACACATTGTTTTCGGTTAGATAAGTATGATACTATTAATTTTAGTGCAGTGTTACATATGCCAATTTTCTCAAGCTTTCGGCAGAGCAGTCCGTGGTCCACACTGTCGAAAGCTTTAGAAAGGTCTAGGCAAACTGCCATGGTGATGTTGTTTTGGTTGCGAGACTCCAGGATCCGATCTAAAGCCATGTAGATAGCCCTTATCGTCGATTTGCCTTTCCTGAAACCATTTTGTTTTTCAGTGAGTAATGCATTTTCCTCAAGAAATTTTAAAAGTTTAGCATAAGTATATTGCTTTTTCAAAAATTTTGCTAAAGTTTGACAGTAGAGAAATAGGCCTATAATTTTTTAGCTCATTTAGGTCTCCTTTTTTGTGAATCGGCTTTAATAAAGCGGTTTTTAGATTAGATGGAAAAATACCTTGTTGCATAGATAGATTAATGATGTACACTAACGGCTCACATAGAAAATCAGCTGCTGCTTTATAAAAATTGGGACTTCATCGTACCCTGTTGATTTTTTGTTTTTAAGATTTTTAATAATTGTAATTACCTCCCGAGTTGATACTGGCTGAAAGACCATGCCGGCCATAGGCATGGGGTTATTGTTCGAGAGCATGAGCTGGCTACTCATTCGCGCCACATCCGGACACACATTTAAGAAAAAATCATTGACATCGTTAAGGAACTGCAACTCACTTTGATAATTAAAATGTTCAAAAATTGTTCTATTGCTGTTTAAATTTTTCCCCGTTACCTTTTTAATAAGACTCCAAGTTGCCTTGGTTTTATTGTCTGAATTTTGAATATAATTTTCATTACTTGCTCTTTTTGCCTGTCGTATAACTTGTTTTAGAATATTAGAGTAATTCTTGTAGTATTGTTTAGAAATATCCCCTTTTTTTACCTTTTCAAATAATAGTCTTTTGTTCTTACTGGATGTTTTTATACCAGTTGTGATCCACCACTGAGAAGGACTGGCCTTTTGTTTTCTTTTCCTGATAGGAAATATGCGATTTATTTTTTCTGCTATACATAGCCTTCATCCTTGATAGATTTGGTGGAAGCATTGGATTCGGTCAACAGAGAAGCTCTTTGGAAGATATTGGTAAAGGTTGGGTATCCGCAAAAGTACATCCAGATACTCTGCCTGCTGCATGCTAATATGAATGCAATCGTCCTAAGCAACGCTGGACAAGGAGAGTCTTTTCAAATTACTACAGGCGTTGAAAAGGGCTGTGTTATTGCACCCACTTTATTTTCTGTATTTATAGGATCCATACTTGATCTTGTCGAGGGCCACCTGCCGTCAGATGTCTAAATTCTGTACAGACTTGATGGCGGCTTAATCAACCTAAACAGATTACGAGCCAAGACAAAAGTATTGACAATATGGGAATGATATCGTCGTGAAGGCCAATACAGAAGATCTTCAGCCAATTATCAATGCATTTAACCAGGCATACAGGAGAATCGGTCTAGAGGTCAACTTTAACAAGACGCAGATACAGCACCAGCCCGCACCGGATACTAGACCCCAAGCCCCAAATATAACTATAAATGATTATCTTTTGAAGAACGTAGAACACTCCCCATACCTTGGGAGCCATCTGTCAGCGAATGCAACCATTGACCGAAATCCAACATCGCTTGAAGTGTGCTAGCGCGCCGTTCAGGCGACTTCTAGAGAGAGTCATCAAGAATCACGACATCAGTAGTGAACGACGGACCACAAACATTTGAAGAACAGCGATGCAGACACGAGACCGAAAAGAGGGACCGCAGGAAGGAGCGAGAGAACAGAGGAAGAAACAATGCTGCCAGAAACTGGGCGTGTCAATAAGACTGTGGAAGAGTGTGCGGCTCTAGAATTTTTTATATACCATCAGAAAACGTACAATCGAGGACAATAAGAATATAGAATAGAAGATAATCATGCTCGGTGTCAAGTGATCGCCTATGATGATGATGGTTTAGGTAAGTGTATGTAGGTGATAAATAAAATAACGAATAATAGGGGCATAATTAACGGAGCCTAGCAATCAGTAAAATATTCGAAATCAAAACCAAAATAAAATTTCCTCATTGTCCAAAAAATTTTTTCGACGCATGTAGAAATACGTCCTTTGCTTTATTTTGATTCCTTGAGTAAGTTTTGTGTTGAAGTTTATCTGTTTTTTTTTTTTCACTTTTTAAAGCATGGATATGAGAAAGACGCCAGTGAGTGTTGATATGAGATGATGAAATTATTTTGATGAATATTGACTATTTACTTAATTCAGGGACTTAGAATGAGAATTAGACTATGATTTTATTATTGTTAAATAACGATTTCCAGTAGCTAGTTACATTTTTATTCTAAGTAATGACTGACAAAAATAAATAGGTATATAAAATAACTGAAAATTAATTGATCAAAATAATAAATGTATGTAATTTCATTTTTAGTTTGTTGCTATGTTAGGAAATCCACGTTTTCGTTAATAGGTACGTGATTAGAAACAAGAGATAGATTAAACTGAATATGTCAGCGTTATCAACAAAAAAAAGAAAGTATAGATTTGTGAAATACACCATTATGTAATTTAATATTTCGCCAAATAGATTTTCTAGGCTATCACTAACGGTCCACTGATAACTATTTTGTGTTCTACTTTTTGAATGTTTCTTATCAATTTGGCGAAACTAATGCTAATAAAAACCATTTTTTCAAACACGTGCTTCAATGAATTACAACTATAAATATCGTACTCTGGAAACATTGTTTTGGAAAATAATTATGAATGAGATTTATGATACCAAGTAAAATATCTGAAAAAAAAATCAATAATTTGATATAAATTTATCTCTACATGCATGCATGAAACCATGACTGATTTAATATGTCTTTCAATCAATATTTTCGAATATTGAGTATAGGTAAATAGTTACTTACAAGTACATCAGAATTTATTCTTCTAATACACCTTACGAAATTGCAGTATCCTGAAATACAATATCCATTATTCGTAGATGATGTTGCAACCTAAATAAATTTGTCAACATAAGACATTAGGAAAAACAATGTACCTACCTACTACTTGCAACTTACGTTAATAATATTTGCACATTGATCATATTGCGTTTCTGCGAAATAGGTGTCGGCATACAAAGACAGAAGAGCAATTGAGGGTTGATTATTATTAGCTCTAGCAGCACGTAAAAAATCCATTCTGCAGTTTCTTGTCTCGTCGATGTTTTCGCAAGCGTAGGAGAGTAAATTGGTTAATTGGACTCTAAAATGAAATAGTTCTTTTGTTTTTCCCCTAATTGCCATTTGACCTTCATACATTCATGTCCACTGACAAAAAAAAGTTTATAGAAACGTGGAAGTGCATATATCACTCAATGGGAAATTATTCCCAGATCAATCCGCATTAGATGCAAAGTTTAATTGAACCTGTGGAACATGAATTATTCAAAGCCACTCTCATCGGAGGGTAGCCTGCCATTATTTTTGTCTGGGAGTCAGTTATAGGATTTGTATGCATTGCTGTTGTTTCTGTTTTAATATTTTGTTCAAAGCGTAAATCTGAAGAGAAGAGGTCATGACAAACAGGTATCATCATACATGATTGGTCCATGGCAAGACCCCTTTTGGTTGAATACATTATCATTATCTCCCTTCGAGCAACATATTATGGTACCTATAAACTTTGACTATTACCTAGATATTTTTTGTTTCTTGACACTGTACTTTTGACATGGATGCTACTTCCACTCTTACCAACTCCAGCGTTACCCCACTATTTTGTAAATTAACATTTGTTTCAGGTTTTATTGGAGGATGATCTTTGGAGCGTTTATTATAGTTTTCTGCTCTTGGATCATAAATATCTTTTGCATTTTTCCATCCATTCTGGCATCAAAGTTATGGAAATGATCAGGTCTACAAGATCTTCCGTAGAAAAAATGCGCAAGATTTCCCATCGATAGCTGAATTTTATTCACAGAATTCCATTGCTCTTCGAATATTATCGTGATATCGTGTTGATCAGGAAAATGTACATTAAATTTTTAAGTATTTTTTGAAAACCTCGAGAATAGCTATGATCCGTCATTATCCGAACAAAATATGACAGGTAGGAACACCAATATGTCCACAATAATTTTACAGAGAACATTTATTATTTGGGAACTGTTAAGATCTTTCTTACCATAATGGCGTACAACATCTTCATGTTCGAAAGAACGATATCCTATAACAATCGCTTTCTCTTGTAAGGCTCGAACAGATTTTTTCAGACGCCTAATAATGTCGATATTATGTTATTATATAATGTGATTACATTGTAGGTCTGATGATGCGGGGAAATTTGTAACTGTGTTATGTTATCAATTAAATAATTTGTGAGATTATGTCTTGTGAACATAATTTAATTATTGGTTTCAAGTAATTTTGAATTTTGTAAATAAGTAGCCGATGTTCATCATCTTTCGAACTAGGCATATTTGCCCACAGGGCTGAAATAGGTAACAAGAAAGACACGGATGCTGAAGAACGAATGGTGGACAACAAAGTCAAGTGGATTGGAATATTTGGTGGTGGCATCTACCAACACAATTTCAGGATCACAAAAGGTTCAAATCGCCTAAGTAAGATCTAGAGACTCAGCTACTCAAAGATGCAGCTTCTATTAGCTCAGGATGGAGGTAGTATTTTCCTACTAAGAGAGTGATTTAATATTTATGATGGATTTTTTTTTTCTGACGGGCTTCAACGTTCGCTGCGAAGACGTTGGCAGTATTTGCACTAAGAGTGAGGTTTCTCAATAAAATTATTTATCCTAGAGCGGTCCATAATTTGAACTTTATTTTCATCAACACCAGACACATTAGGCCTATTCGGGTTTGGAAAAAGGACGGTTCTAGAACGGTTCAAAACAATCGTCCAGATTATTGATCAACAAAATAACAACGACTCGACTATCACAAATTTCAATAATAAACTGTGCGATTCTTCTGGACCGTTCTAGAACCGTACTTATTCCAAACCCGAATAGGCCTATTATGTTCCTAGGACCATAAAAATCTCTATGTATGGGGTAATTTGTTCGATTTTTTTTCGCTAGAGGCAGCAGCGTCAATCAGCGCTATTATGTTCTTGTAATTATTAATTTTACGTATTCTTCTCGCTAGATGGCAGCGTCAACGACCAAGTTCTCAAAAGCATAATTTACACTAAATTTTTTGTTCAAAATTATAAATTGAGTTATTGCGAAAATAAAAGTGGGACTAAATTTAGGACTATGTTTTTGAACTAAAAACGGGTGTTCGGGTTAAATCTGTTTCGGATGCTTGACAGTTCAAGTGTTCAAGAACTATCCAATGCTGATTCAATTGGTTTATACTCTGTGGGCGGAAGTAGTTGGGACCATTTTTGAACTAATAATTTTTGATCTGAAATTGTGGTTAGATTTATTCACAAATCACAAATTTCCATATTTATTTTGCTTGTGTCTGTATTTTCAGTAGTTCTGGTAAAATTATATAAGGTGGGTTCGGGATGACTGTTCCATAAACTCCAAGTGCAATAAACAAACGATGCGTTCGTGTATTGTTATTTTGAGCTAAAAGAACAACTCCACATGCATTCGGGAGTCAGAAGAGCTGACTCTGAAAACACTACCTCGTCATTAGTAAGCGCCAGAGTAGGCATGCGCAGTGTGTTCCTTTCTGTAATTTGGTGTCGTCCATCTATCGTATTTTTTGTATGCGTCATGCGTCAATCGAATATTCGACTAATCGACAGTCAACTGAGAAATATTTCATTTGTAATAAGCCTTCCAATCACAAAAGAAATAGAAAGCTTAGTAAAAAAGACGCAGAAAAACGTTTATTTTTAATAATAATTGTCAGTTTTTAGTGTTAGGTTGAGTTAAGAAGCTCCCGCCCGCCAGGGCCGTAGCGCCATCTATTAGGAGCCATCATTTTGACATTAAGTAAATGAACAATAACTAAAAATAAAACAAAGTCTCAGTTGTGAAAGATAATATTGCAGTCACTTGAAGATAAAATGTTTTATGCTATTCGGCACAAAAGGTATTTTTGTGCTTCGCTCGATTGTAGGCCTCCGCTACGCCATACGTGTCGGCCTTCAAACATCGAGCTCACCACAAAAAGACCCACTTCTTGGCCTAATGACATAAATAACTTATTATTTTAACTTATTACACGCTCTATATTTTATAGCCACATGCGTAAGAGACGTTTTATTAAACGTTCTATACTTTTTTATTTACCTATGTCAAAATAATTGTCTTACATTTTAAAAATATAGGTATAATGTGAAAAACTAAATACCTAGGTAAATCAAATTCTAATTATGTTTAAAATCAAAACATAAAATTGGTGCAGATTTTTTATTTTTGATAGTTCATCCGGTGTTTAGCACTAAAGAAATTTCTTACGTGGATTGTTCGCAATTTTGCGTAGCTTGTTTTGGAGTACCCAAACCCAAGAGGTCACTGATCTGAAAATAAATATCAAAAGTCTTGGTTAGTTGACGGCGATTACGGAATCTTTAGATTTTTTAACCCTACTGCTTTCCTTTACATTGGATGCAAAAATGCTCTTATTACTATTTATTGCAATAGATAGGTATCTATAGACTAGCGCTGCCTGGGTGCCTTGATGAATATGTAGGATCTATCTATATCTATCTATAATATGAAGTTCCTTATTGGGGGGTTAAATGAAAACACCCTAAACTATTAAAATTATCTATAACATGGTTCGGTGCCAAAATTGCTTGGTATGTAAAAATAGACCTCAACCTCTACTACATTCCTACAATTAAAAATTCAACTTGAGAAAAACTCTAGTTGTTGAAATATTTCGAACTGAAAATCAATACTTCACCTACATTTGCAAGGACTGAATTAACAATCAATAATGGGTAGGTACTTAAGAAAAAAAGGTTTATAAAACATTTCACCATTCTACAACTCATAAAAGTAATAGAATCTTTAATCTTTGTTCACGTGATTCACCTCAAATTAACGTCTACAACACCAATAATACAACATAACATTGCGTAGTTCCATAAAAGCAAATACCTAGATGCCTTGTTTACTATTTAATAAATATAAATAACTATTTAGCAAAACCTTATTGATTAAAAATAACTCAAAGTTTTCCTTACCTGAATAATAGAAAACACAACAAAAATAATACGCCCTAATTTAAACATAATTTATTATTTGCAGTTTCGGAAACAAATATTAATAATAACGCAACAAGTTTACATTTCTATTTGAATTGCTGGAAATATTTTTGAGAGGATCTTTTTTTTTTCAATAAAATTAAAACAATATTATTGCCTAATCTCTAGTTGTTTAACTAATACAACAGTTTCAAAATATCCGCCACTTATTAAGTATTACAAGCTGATAAATTTTAATACTACATTATTAAGTTATTTATAATATGTTTGCAACTTTTTTACAATAGGAAAAATTCTAATTGGGAGATGCACGTTGTATATTTATGTGTATTGCACAAGCTAAATAATGAATCAGTAGGTACTTATTTAGATCGTAATATATGTGTCTATTGCAATTTGCAAACTACACAGGGTTATAAATAATTGCTTTTCTAAACTGAAAAAAAGTCTAAGGGCCAGTTTATTCACCTTCTGATAAATTGTCAGATATGCAATCTAACGGATAAAAACGAATCTGTAATTGGTCGGTCAGTTATCCGCCGACAAATAGAATTATTAGAAAACAGTAAATTTTATCTTGCAGATAGTTACCAGCAAGATTATTTGAAGATGAATAAACCGGGCCTAAGTCAACCAAAAATTTAGCAGTGGATTTGGTGGCGAGAGAAAACGGTATTTTCTCCTAGAAACATTTCTTTTGCTGTCCTTTTGGAACACACTTCCAATTATTAGCAGGCGACTAGCGCTATAAACGAAATATTCTCCTAAAAGCCTTACAATGCAAATTTAAAAAAAATTACCAATACACACGTTATGTTCAACTCACTTGAAACCTTTGTATTTGCAGACTCTTGGCAAAATTCCTAGAACTTAATACCTACAGTTTAACCTAAAGTGAAATACATTATATTTTGTTAAAATATACCGCCCTCAATTCGAAATGAATTAGAACTCCGTGTATTCTGGACATTTCGAATATTCTCTTATCAAGACTGCTCTGAGAGGCCGGGAGGCTCTAGCGTCTAGCGCCTCCCTTCAATTCATCCCAATAAGATCGGCCGATAGTACTCTACGGTCTGAGCCCAGAACCCAGCCGGAACCCCAAAAACGATGTGTTCGCGAAATATTCCCAGAGAAACGCCTCTCTGAGAATCCTCTGACAAGCTGACTGAAGGTCTAACATGTCCAATCCAACTGCCTACAAACACCTCTTAGCGATTAATTGCCGATGAGGCTAAGCCATAGGGAGGATGGGACAGTTAAGAGTCGTCTCCTGGGCCTACTTCTTCTGCCAGGCAAACCATCTCCAGCTGCTAACCCGTTGCGACGTCAATGCACAATGCACAAAACATCGCTTGGGGCAGCACCGAACCGATTTCAACAACAGAGGATTGTAACTTGTGGTAAACAATAATCTGATATTCGCTACTTAGAGCAACAAATCTGTCTTCGTAAGTACTAGAAGAAGGGAGGCATGTTCTGGATATAGCTATTGCAACTATTATGATGACTAGCAATATTAATAACTGGCATGGATCAAATGAGCCATAGGCATTAGATCATTGATACAAGAATATGTAAAATATGGAAAAATAAAGCCAAAGTTTTAGTTATCTAAAACCTCAACCTTCAGTAAAAACCTTATTTATAATGATTATTCTATTCTATAAGTTATTAACATAGGCACTTAATCTCAAAATTCAATGCCCTCCCATGTTGCGCACAACTATATTATCGACATCCAAACTTTGCCTAAAAAACCTTTGAAAAAGACAATATTTTTTTAAATAGTAAGGGTGGCTTTGTCTAATCAAAAGATCTAAGATATAAGTAGCTATTACATCACTTTGTGAAAAACCTAATTTTCATCATTCTATAATATATAATATCTAATCAGTATTTAATTTACTGTCATGCCTACTCTTGACATTATATCTAATCCTATCCAAGCCTTCCAACCATAATCGGAAAATATGCCTGAAAATTTGAAGTTTTTGTATCCGCTTCTAGAATCAATGGTTATATCGAGAGCTACTTCAGATAAATAATTTCTCAGCACAACATGTTTCAGCTTTAAGGGGGTGTGACCAGCGTTGCCAGACCCTCGAAAACTAAAGTACTGATCAAGATGCAAAAAATATACTGAAAAACGTAAAAATGTACTAACATCAGAAACTGAACTGGAGTTCATAAAACTAATGAAGTAGATGGTTTTAGCATACTTATTTTGTTTTTTTAGGCTTAAGAATATCCTCTCAGCACAAGCGCTGCTTTATGGCAATCTCGTTACATTGTCAACATCAAAGAAACGAACAACACCGGTAATTTGCGCGTTTTTCATGTCATAAAAATTGAACCGACATTTTTCAAAATCGTTACATTTTCAGAAGATCTGATATTATAGATTAGGGCAGGTTATTTATTTCACGAAATTTAATGTTAATATCTTCTAGCTTCTCAAGAATGTACAGTGAGAATCATTGCAATTGGCACACACTATATAAACATCCCCCGTAACACAGAACATATCACCTCTAGAAAAGTATCTGCAATGTTATGTACCGGTTATGAATTACAGCGCCATCGTTGACTGAAAACCCAACTAATCGAACATTCTTGACAAAAAGGCGAATTGATTTTTTTCATATATTTTTATTATTTTTAAATAATTTTTAATGTTCAACTGCATTTGGCTTGCGGACTCCTTTTAGCTCTTTTCGCCTCATTTTTTTGAAAACTATGACTGGCAGGAAGTTTCCGATGTCGAACATAGTGCAAAAAGAGTTAGTAAGTTAGCAAGAGACACGCAGCTATGGGTAGATCGCAAAGTAAATACGGATAATAAATGCAAATACGAACGAAACGAAACAAACGAGTAAATACAAAAAAATACGAACAAAAATTAGGGTTTTTTTCAACCAAAACTTTTTGATTTTTCGCTTTACCGCGCGTGGGGACCATGGTTTACAACACAATTTAAAAATTCAAATTTTGACTTTTAAAATGACAAAATAAATGACAAAACCAACCAACACAAATCACTGTCCACGCCACAGATACCTGTAAATATCTCTTATCTCCCGACAGTGTCGCCATCGTTGATTAAAAACCTAACTAGAAACCTTCGTCGCGATTCTCCCATTTGAGATATTTTTCTATAGGTGATATGTTCTGTGCCCCGTAATGTGTCCAAATTTGACTTGTACCATCGTCACCAAAACTATCTGGGAAACAAATAATGCCTAATAATCTCTTGGACTAATTCTACTGTCATTCATTTCAATGTATTATATTCATAGTTTGACAAATATTTGACAATAAAATTCATATAATAGGACAAGAGCTAATGTGATGCTGTCCCAGTTACTTTTGGTGACGATGGTACATGTCAGGCAATTTAAGTATTAGGTAAAAGGTCAGTAGGAATATTGCTATCACCCTTGGAATTTTTTTTTGATCTAAGAAACGTCAAACATCTAATCTAAGCAAAACCCTCCTCTCTGGTGGATCTTGTAAGTAATCCAAAACTTCAGCTTAAACTCCTTTTTTCTTGCGGTGCATGTCAAATTTTCGAAAGGTCAGTTTCTGCAGAAATCACAAACCAGTCAGTAAATTTCATTGGTTGAAACTAGTTTTCTGACTGTTTTTGACTGGAAACAGACCTGATGAAGTCCATATACGGACGTAAAACGGGCGCGGGCTGAAGGCATGTTTGGGGTGCACTCAAAATTCTGCTCCGGAGTATTTTGTGAACACCTTCCGTCCCAAGGAGATTACACCCTCTAGGAGTGCTTATCGGCCTCGTTTTTGGTAGTTTAAACAGTCTACGTCAAGGCGAGTATATAATATCATGCTGCCTACGTCACAACTGGTATTTTGGAAGGCAGGGGGGGGGGATTTGTTACACACAGGCCTTATGAGGATAGGCCATCCTGGTAGTAATAGTGTGTATCGTCCTTGCTTCCGTCCATTCGAAAATGCAGGTATTCGTTAATTTTTCCTGCCGTCTAAGAATATCCTCGATATTGTACAGCGGCGGGAAAATGTATTGAATTTTATAGTGTGGTACTGACGTACTGAAGAGGGTCAAATTGTACTGATTTCAGTACATCTGTACTGATGCTGGCAACACTGGGTGTGACCCTAAAAAACGACTTAAGCTACTTAAATCAAGTAAAAAATTCTAAGATTTCTCGTGAAAACCGCAGTCCTGTATTCAAAATAGTCTCCGAGAAAATTCCTTGTGAAGATCAATTATGCAGGAAATTGTGATGTCACAACCGCCTAAATCGCAGTCTTCTGGTCGTTCTGTCGTCAGTAAACCGTACCGTATACTTTGAGTGGTTGCAATTCGTTCTAGGAGATAATTATCCTTTGTTTTGGAGAATTCTCACACGTGTTAATACTGTCCCTGAAAATCCAGTCTGACGTCACAAACGCCTAGTTGTAACTTTAAACCGCCCTAACTCAAAAATGGACCATCGTAGCAAGATGTGGTTTGAATATTTATTCTTAGATTTTTTTGCACTAAAACTTTCATTTTTGGGTCATACTATATTGTTACGTAAGCGGTTCTGTAGATAAGTGACTCTACTATTCCAAAATTAATTTACATGAGACAAAAACACAATCTAGCTCAAAACTAAATTACAACTCATTGTCTTACTATTGAATCGCATTCCACCAATTATCCGATTGAAATCTTATATTCGCGTTTAATTAACTGCATGGCTCTTGATAAAACAGCACTGACACTTCCCTAAGTGGCCGATTCCGTTCTATAGCGCGGCGTTGGTTCCAGAATTGTCTGGATAATTTGCTTCCGTCTGTTCCGAATTCGCCGGTGAAATTCCATTCGTGAATTTTCTAGTCACCAATCAGTTTTTGCAGACTGTGCACAATTCCAGAAATTTATAACACACATTTTATGGAGATTATGTAGAAAAATACATACCCCTTAAAAGTTTTTTTCGAAATTATAAGCGCGCATGCATTCATTGTTTCTTGGAATGTTGGTGACTGAGCCAAATTAGCGACTTTTGGTGTGATTTGCCCATCATTCTTACCAGCAACGTAGATTTTTTTCATTCATTTCGGCAGCAATACTTTACTTGAGAAAAATGTTTTGGAGTGCGTTCGAAAAAGGGTTAAAATTT